TGTCCATCCAATGCCCAAGTAAGTGCAAGTCTCAAGTATGAACCCTTGCATCAGTGTTCCATTCCATGATTGCTCAACTAAAAACCCTGAATCCTCAAGTAAACCAATGACTGCTCAAAGCTAATCTATGAATGCTCAAGCACTGCCATGAATGCTCAGGTAAAACTGTCTTGAATGCTCAAGCAAACCTATGTTTGCTCAAGTAAATCTACCAATGCGCAAGTACTGTCATGAATGCTCAAGTTAAGCCATGACTGCTCACGAGTGCTCTAATGAACCCATGAAGGAAGTATAATGTCACTCAATCTTCCATTCAACTAGCAACCCATTGCAAACTATTCAAGTAAAACAATGACTCAAATGAATAACTACACATTGTCTCAAACTTATTGATGCAGTTACGCTGCAGCACATGTTTTCTCCTGACATTGACCTCCCGTAGGTTCAGAAGCTCTGCTGGGATTTGCGCCCTCTCCAGAAGATCAGGACATGTCTGATCTTTCTTTAAAGAGCCCTGAACACCTTCACCTTTAAGCTCGCACTGGCTTTCAAAGATCGCAACTGGGGCATCAACACCCTGATGGTGAAGTCCAGCTTGTCCATGGAACCTTGATTGGACACAGGCGGCGCTGCATTGAGTTCAAGATCTCTGGGCAAACGCATCGTCTTCAAAGCCTTCACCAAGCGGCCAGACTGGATCTTTGCGTTTGGCCACAGGTTCTTCTTGCCCTTGCGGTTCACGAAAGAAGTGAACACTGCCACCAGGCTTGTCACTGTGATCAGCGGGTCAGCAACAAGGCGCGCCCTTGAAGCTTGTTTGGCTGATCTCTCTTCAGCTGCACTCTGCATCCTATCATCTAGCAATGCTTGCAAAGCAGCCATCCCAGAGGCAAAAGCAAAAGATCTCAGGTTCTTCAAGCCAAAAGTTTCTGCTGCAACTCACTTTGGACAAGCAAAACACTGATGAGGCACACCCAAGAAAATCCTCTAGTAAGTTGTCCACGCTCAAGTAAACCCTCAAGCAAACGCACCCCACTCACAAGTAAATCCTCAAATGGCCCACGCCCACAAGCAAATCCTCAAGTAAATGCCGCACACTCACAAGCAAATCCTCAAGTCAACCCTGACACTCACAGGTAAACACCCAACAGTCACAAGTAAATCTTCAAGTAAATGCTCCACACATGCTCTGACGCCCTCAAGTAAATCCACAAGTAACTGCTCTACAGTCAAAAACGTGACGGGAAATGCCTTGCAAATCTCCAAACGCACTGACTGGAGGTATTGCGAAAACCAAGAAAAGATATGACATTATCATTTATCCATTTTCGCATCATTTTCCAAGTCCTCAAAAATTGAGGTTACAACCTAAATTAGTATAGGTTATAACATTCTAATTTAGTTTAGGTCATACCACAAAATGCGCGTAAATTCAAGTACGTAAACGTTCACCTAATTTTTCTTAGTAAATTCAAAAAATGCGCAGATTTTTCGATTAGTAAAATTTTTAATTTCGAAGACTCAGGGTCGACAGGATCGCCTGCATTTGCTCTGGGGAGGACATTACGACTCGAGTGGAGCTTTTGCGTCGCATTCAGCTTGATTCTGAGTGACTGTCATGGCTGATCCACGCCGCCACCTTCAGGGTAATTTGGGGTGCGAGGAGGACACGGCTGGAGGACTTACGACACAGGAGGGAGTTCGATGCAGTCTTCAGGAGGCCTTAGAAGACGGCGATGATCCGGCCGAAGATACGGAAACCATCGTCTGCCCACATACACTCGGAACAGTGCAGGGTGTAGCTGCAGGTCGATCCAACCGACACAGAGTGTAGCGTTTGTATGTTGATTGCCCGACATTCCGGACAGGAAAACTGGCAGATTGTAAGAGGGAAGGTCTTGTCTGCTGCGCTGCCCCCATATATCAGACCAAGTCGACGCGATCGTCTGTGACGCGAATTTGTTCACCAATCGACAGTTCACGTCGGATCGACATTCCGATCCGCATACTGGCTCTGTTCTAACACTCCTTGACCAGATTTTGGCGTCAGCCAACAAGCGGTGTGAAGCGGACCAGCATATCGACGGTCGGCCACCGAACAACTTGCCGCGTTGGAAGGACAGCCAGCTGATTGCGATTGTTTGAAGCAGATCGTCCTTAGCTACGGTAAGGACACGCACACATTGGTGAGCAGAACTTCCGACATTACGGAAGATATGGACAGGACCTCCTATGAAGAGCCACCATGCCAGAAGGAGACATTGGTCAAGGTAAATGAATATTTAAAGCGCTTGAATCACCTTGACTTCTGCTTGAAGAGCAGTGACGAAGCCTATCACCATCCCTTTCAATGCAGTTTTCAGCTTGCATGTCGTGACTAATGTCAGAACCCGTAGCCATGCATCAACAACGCAGGAAGAAGAAGGGTTCTGAGCGATAAGAAGCAAGACTGGGCCCAGGAACAGGACGATGCCAGCTGGCGGCAGTCCTCTGCATCATCATCATGGGGCTCAGGATGGCGGGGCTCTCGTCAGTACAGCGGTTTTCCGACCAAGAGATCTTGTACGCCGACATTACGGCATACTCAGCATAAAGCGTTGCAACTGGAAGCCATAGAAAGAATTTAGAACTTTAGACACTCAATGCCAGATCTTTACAAGATTTAATTCAAAATACAGCCATGGTTTCTGATATTCCGGTTATCTTTCAGCATTTTCGAGACGTGTATATAGATTAGACAGAACTCTGAACTTAGCGTCATTTAGCCAGAATGGCATCTACGGTCAAGTTCTGCGACGCCAGGACTTTTGTAATTCATTTGCATTGTACATTTTGCTTTTGCAGCCGTAAGCTTCGACGCGAAGAAATTTTTGTGTGTTTGATAGTTGCGGCGCTTGTCCCCCTAGACGTGTCTACGCTATACGTGTGTAGCACCTGTTGTCCGTAATTGACTGTACGTTACTCTTCACGCAGATTTACAGATTAATTCACACTGCTTTTGGCTCAAGATTGAAGCCCGCGTATACTGCACTTCGCGCCATAGAGAAAAGTGAGCTCGCCGCCGCTCGCTCACGACTCCGCTCGGTGTTGTCGGTCAGGTCCAGTGTACTTCACTGCCACTTTCAAAAAACGGCATCACAAGAGAACGCCTCACCGTGGAGATGGGTCGGGAGGCATGGAGGGGGAAGCGCGCGCCGTGCGTGGGATTGGGCGCCAGCGCAGGGGGGGGCGGAGTAGGTGTGGAAAAGGTGATGGGAGGTGGGCGCGGCACCTTCTGCTCGCCAATCTGAGGGGTTGCATCTCGAGATCGAGACGTGAATCGGCGCAGCATGGGATCTCGTCGAGCTCGCAAGGCACGATGAAGACACTGGCATGGCGCGCAGAACAAGTGGAAATCCAAGAGGAAAGGAAGCGGTCGTGAAAGGGAACCCGGTACGTGAGAAATGCATGGCGACAGTGTCGCGATTGCAACAATCCAGAAATGGAGTCCCAACAAGAACGCGATATAACAATATCAAAACTGAGGCATGGCGCGCATTGAACCGAAGGGTGAGGGCGACAAGTGGGGACAATAAGACTCGTGGTTGATGGGGTTGGTGAAGGAAGCTAACTCTGAGGAAGAGGGAAAAGGTGATTACATAGAATAGAAAGGTAAGGTGTACATCCACAGTCAGCCTTCCATATAGGGTGAGTGTGAGAGACTAATCCGGGGATAAGGAGGTCAAACAGCTAGCCATAAGAGGATCGAGCTGAAGGACGCGACCAGGACGAAGTGTACGAGGTAGCCGCAAAAGAAGTGCCAGTCAGGTCCAACAGGATTGGTCAAACGAGCGTAAGAATTAAATAAAGTCTGGCCTTGAAGTTCAGCGACAAGTTGTTCTGGTCCAGGTGTCTGTGAGAAGGCGCGCGAGGCCAAAAGTCGTGAGAAGATTCCGAGACACCCCATGGTGGTCTCAGCCGCGAAGGAGTCCAAGGAGTACAAGTGCCCGGCTGAAGATGCCTCGTTCTCGACCTTCAATGAAGAACTCCAGAATAATGTCATTTACCACACACCAGCAGGTCGGAATACGCTGTCATGAGCTGGCACGCCTGACTCCTACATCAAGGCTCTGGAGAAAATGTGGTTCCGCCATTTCGGACCACGAAAGGTGACCCATGGTTAGGGGGAAGCATGGACAGTTGGACAAGCGCCCTGTGCATGGATCCCCGGCTCAATGATTGTACTGGGATCACAAACACCCTCTGCTGTGTGGTGCCTCAACTGTTGCTGGCTCCACACCAAGTCAAGGCCCCCAGCCCGAGATCACTCGACGTGAAATGGCTATGTATGCCAAATTATCAGCCCCTCTTCAAGGAGCACGTCATCACGTCATCTTGGAAAGGTACGTGAAATGCTTCCAGAAAGACAACACTGAGCGGCCCATGGCGCCTGCTTCAAAGCTGCTTTCTTGAGCCGACTCGTCCACGAGTGCTCATGGTAGCCCGAGAGCCAAGGCCTGCTTGATTGTCCATGGCTTTATGGACCCTGATGCGCAGGAAGGCATTCAGCGGGATGAAGCTCGATTGCACTCTTCCGCCAGCAGACCCACAAAAAGGACAGCACAGCGATCTTGACGAAGAGCTTATGCAGAACCTCGTTGGGCGTCACGCAAAGGATGACGGAGCTCCGCTACCAATGCGGAGATTGGAGCGCCGCTAACGAAGTCCGTGAACAGCACAAAAAGGACGGCGTCTCGGAGAGACACCGTGGCCGCGCGTTTTGTCAGAAGGCGATCCCTCCCGCTCTTGAGAGGTACGGTCCAAACACATGGAAAACGCATGAACTTCACAGAAGCAAAAACGACAGTCAAAAGACACATCAAGAGACAAGTTCCGAGATAGTTAAGATGATGTCTCGCATGCCCTCAAAATGACCTCGTGATGCAACATCTGGAAACAAAAGGTTTGACAATACCTTTCAAAACTGAATGGGCGATTGCTCTGCCAACAGGGGCGTCTGCCTGTCCCGAGAGGACTATCCACCACCAGCGCATGAATCAGCCTACAAGCGTGCGTGCAGTCACTCAGCAATCGTTCGTGGGAATGTCAGTTAGTAGCGATGCCAGAAGCCCCTAGTAGCGTCCTTGCTCCTAGCGGTAAGGCCAGGAGCCCCTAGTAGCGTCCTTGCTCCTAGTAGCGATGCCAGGAGCCCCTAGTAGCGTCCTTGCTCCTAGTAGCGATGCCAGGAGCCCCTAGTAGCGTCCTTGCTCCTAGTAGTAGATAGGGTCTAGCCTTCCCTCAACGGCCGCCTCTTGCAGGCGGCCTTCACATAGCAAAGCCTGTCTTTTGTCCATCTAGGGTGAATTGAGTTTGTGTGCACTTGCCACCAAACACCAGCAACTTGGAATTCGCAGAAAAATGCTCGTGTATACTTATTAGTAATATATATATATATAAATATGGGAATGAAATGCTATGGAAGTTGCAAGTGATTACTCTGGGCTGTTCTGTCCAGGCGGCCCCAAGAGAAGGCTGGGGGTGTGCAGGAGTGTATCTGAAACTAAAGTAGGTGCATCCGCGATGTTCTATGTCGGCAGGATTGACTTGTTGTTGAATGGGGCCGCCTCATCCCTTGAGGCTTTCTTGGTCCAAACGGCCAAGACATATTGTCAGAAACAAACTGTTGTTGGGTGACTTTTAAAAAATGGCAGCATCTGTCGCGAGTGTCCAATTTGCACATGCAGCTAAGCTCCATAGAATTTGCGCCAACAGCTTGAAATGCCACGTGTATGAAAGTGCTACTGCAGGCAAAAAAAATGCAGTTCAAGCGCGCAGCCTTCATTTGCAATTCACTTGCTCTTTGCATGTCCAGAAGCGACCACTTCCATTTCAGATCCTGACGATTTCCAGGCTTCCAATAGCCAAGCGGCGTTCAGATTCATGCGTGAGCAGTGCTCTCTGAGATCTCTGGGCCGAGCACGCCACTGCTCCAGCAGCGGATCAGGGCCTGAAGAGAAAACTCAAGTCCTGCACATCAAAACTATTGCAAGTGTCCCTTTATATATGACGTCACTCGAGATCCTTGTTCTTGGCCACACGGCTCAGAAGTTTGAAGAAAAGTGACTTGATCCACAATTAATCAAAGCATGAGTTATCGGCTGCAAAAATTGTTTGAACTCCCGGTAAAGTGGGTGGATCCTGCAGTCCCACGTCACATTCGGTCATTCAGCTGTAAAGGTTCATTGATAATTTTGGCGTTAGACTTGTAGGCAGAAGATGTGAATTTTAGTAGCGTCCTTGTTACTACTAGTAAGGCACTTGTTACTAGTAGCGAGGCACTTGTTCCTAGTAGCGAACCTTGCCGGTGGTGGATCGAAAAAACATGAAAAACTGAACAGCAGAATCACAAGGTGATGCTCCAAGGGTTCAGTGTGGCAAGTAGGTAGGTATCGCACACAGTTATGGGGCGGCTCTAGGCTTTGCCCAAGCTTCCGAGATATGACAAATCTCTGCAAAAACTAATTGAAGGCTGTTCAGTTGTTTTCACATGGTCTTGTGAGGTTCCAGTACCATGACTGCTTGCATAAGCACGGTGGTTCTGTCATGGTGGTACGCTAAGTTGATACCTCAGCTTATTGAGATGTTGCCGCTGAACGTACTGTTCAATCTGCAGTTGCAAGCGGTATCTCAGACTCCGTCCGTCTTTGGGCAAGCTGGGACTACCTAAGCAGGGTCAAGCACTCAACGATAAGGAGCGGTTCGATGAAACACTTAGTTTCCGAAATCTAGGAACCAAATCATTAGCGCGAGCGCTTCTTCAAGGAAGTCCCCCTGCGCCGGCGGGGGGAGCTTCCTTGAGGAAATGTGAGTGACCTATCCTGTGTCCATGGTAGCGTCCTAGTAGCTATAGGAGCTTACTGAGGGCAGGCAACGGTGCCACGCGCTTAATTTTACGTGTCTATATATATATGTATATATATATATATAATAGTGGCTCAAGCCATTAGCCTCAAGCTTGTTGGCTATCAGCCAACGAGCGTCCTCATCGGCGCGATCACCACCTCACTGACGGTGACACAGGCCAGATCGGGATCGGTGCGGAGATCATGACTTCAGGGGCGGGATACTGCGGCGCTTATCAAGTATGTGGCAACGACAGGCGCTATAACTGGATTTGGTGTGACAAAGTTCGAGAAGGCTATGTCTGCCACCGGTGCGGTGACAAATGGGCGAGACCGACACAAGGTTTCTCAAAGGCACCTGCTTCGAGGTCACCCAAAAGGGCAAGCAAGCACCAGATGCCTGTTACGCCACCGCCAGGCTTGTGGCATCACTCAGGCCAGAGAACATCCAAGCTGCAGAAGCAGACCGGAGACCTCCTGCTCTCCTACAAGCAAGATCCAACCTTGCAGCAGAAGGTCTCCGAGCTAGGCATTGCTCCGGCCACATCTAGCCCAGAGCCAGATCTCAAGGATGTTCTCAGAGACAACCTGGCTCAGCTTCCAGCCCCCGTCAAAGAGCTGGTTGAACGGATCACCAAGCCGCAGCCACCCACTAAAAAGGACGTGGCCATCAAGCTCAAGCAGCAGGTATCCACCTTGCGGGACCTATCTCATCGCAAACAGATTTTGCAGAGCAAGATTGATGCCACGAAGAAGGCTTTCCAGGATCTCTTAGAAGAGATGAAAAGCATTCAGACCAAGATTGAACAAGAGCAGGCCGAGCTCAATAGCACGAGCTCCGCATACATGACCCTGGTCAGCAAACAACTTGATCCTGTACAGTTGTCTGAAGATGCTGACATGAAGGACCCGGTACCAGAAGCTGTAGCCGGGTTCATCTCCACCCTGGGTGTCAGCTTGACTCAGGAGCAGCATGACCAGCTCAAAACTATGCTCAAGCGGCCGCCATCCTCCACCGACGAAGAAACCAAACGACGAAAGACGGGAGACGATGACAAGGACAAGTCTTGTGGGCAACGGGGCCCAGATGGCTTCCGTGCCTTCTACTCCCTCGTTGAACGCTTTAGGGGTTTTCCCACGCAGGGACATGGACATGGGGGTCACTCAGTCAAGTTGCAGGATTTCAGCCAACTTCACTGATTTTGACACTTTTGCAAATTCAGGCTCAAATTCGGCAGACGGGTTCCACTTCGGGGTTTATGGACCTGTTCGAGGATTGCAGCCGCCCAAATTGAAAGGAGGGGGCGCCTCCTCTCACGAAGTTGAGCCAAGGCCGGATCTTGGAAGGGCACCGCGTTCTTCTACCTCAGTGCAAGCTCTTCAGAGCCTTGCATCCTGCGGGACCCTTCCTCCGGAGACCTTGGCTAAATTTTGGCAAACCATCATGGAGGTGGATGATTCAGATGCAATTGACAGAAGGCCAACTTGGGCTTTTTCAAGTATGTCAACACGATCATCTTGCGCAACGTATGAGGACAGGCCAACACTGCAAGCGGGGCAACAGCTTCTGGTGGACCTGCAACGCACGCAGCCTTTGCTTCTCAAGCAGATGGCTCTACCTGGCGACATGGAACCGGGTGTGGGCAATCTCTATACTATACGTCATCTCTCAGGGGCTCACCAGCATTTTGAGCAATCTGCACAATCTTTGCTACGGGAATGCACCTTTTAGATGCTGGTGCTGGGCAGGGGCGCTGAAGATCTCTCGGTGGGACAGTTCCTAGCCAGCAAGGAACCTCAAACCCTCACTGGATTGGAAGGAATGGATCATTTTTGGAAACACTTCGAACCAGGCTGTCAAGATGACGTAGGACACTTCATGGGACGGCTCTGGGCCTTTTCCGGGTCGTCCTTCTTCGGGGGCCGCTTCTTTCATGTTCATGAAACGGGCAGGCTCGAAGAAAGGGAGCAGGTTTCACTCAACCTGTTGTTCCCACAGGAGCAGACACACCCCACCTTGGAGGATTTGGTCACCTTTTGGTCCAATGAAGGTTATATGGCACACCAGGAGCCGTGGTTCTACACCTGCAAAGATTCCAACAAGAAGGAACAGGCTGGACGAAACATGAACAACCAGTCGACATCCCGGTCCGAGTTCGCATTCCTTTCTCGGAGCATCGCATCCACGTTCACATGGCTTCCTATAAGGTCATCAGCCTCATCCTTCACAAGGTTCACGGACCTGAAGCTGGACACTATGTGGCCATACACTGTTTGGACAATGCGTACTGGTATGCGGATGACGATCAGAACCCGGTACTCCTGCCGCACTTGACGGAGGAACACCTTCGACAGATCGTCCAGGTTTGGCTGGTTCTTGAGGAAGCTGATGAACTGGTTCCGGACACTCTTGAAGCCTGGCAACCTGTCTTGAAGAAATCCAGGGGTCACTATGAGACCTTGAATCTTCTCCTTGGCAACGTTACACAATTCGGTCACAAGTTCAAGACTGGATCTGGACCAAGCCAAATCATCTTTTGTTCCTGCAGGAAACCCACATGGGTACCAAGACCATGGAGACCGCCCTCCAGTACTTCAACACTCGAGGCTGGCGCGCCTATGGGGTGGCTACCTGCCCCACGGGCAATGGTGGCACTACAGGAGGCTTCATCACCCTGCATGGACAAAAGCATTTGACGCATCACGTCCAGACCAACACACAGGAAGGCAATGGGTGGACAGCCATTGGGCTCCAGCGAGCGGACACGCTCATCCTCCTCATCCAGGTTTACGTCAGGCAGGGGAAACTCTTCAGTCTCCACAAAATGCTGACATCCTCTCCAAGCTTTTGAACCTCTGGATCACGCTCACGCTCCCTTCATCATTGGGGGCGATTGGCAGAACTCACCGGATGCCCTGGCAGCCACTGTCATTATGAGCAAGTTTCAATGTCAGATTGTCGACACTGGCGCTCCCACGACTCTTCAAGGGTCTCAACTGGACTACCTGCTGGTCTCCAATGTGCTGGTCAGCTCTATACAGCTGCAACCGGAATGGGAAGCGCCGTGGAAGCCTCATTGCGGCTTGGCTGTTACTCTTTCCTGTGACACGCCTGACGTCGAGGTCCAGCAACTCCAACGATTTCCACCTATTGGCAAAGTGCATACGTTGCCACAGTGTTGGAGTACCTTTCATGAAGCTGACGGGCCCTTTTCCATTGCTGGCATTCAGATCACTGGGTTAGGCTCTGATCTGGCTCGATGGGCCAGTCAAACTGAGCAGTACCTCACGCAGCAACTGCACAAGCCCACAACGGGGAGAGGTCACCACATCCAGCTGAGGAAAGCTCCACTGGTCGACCAAATCAGGCAGCAGGTATGGAAGAAAGGGCAGCTGGCCTATTGGGAAAGGATGGCTGTTCGGGTCAACATCCCTCACCTTGCACGCCAATGCCACTGAAGACATGGAGCAGGATCTCTTCGCCACACTTCTCCGCACGTGGATCAAGGAACCTCACAATGATCCCACGGAACTGAAAGGCTACATCCACAACCAAGAACTTCAAGCACACCAAGCCCTCCTCAGCTCTGGCAGTGTGGAGTTCAAGGCCTGCCTGGAAAAGGCTCACACTCAATCAAGGCCTACGAGGCCTCTTCAGGAACCTGAGGCAGCGGGACATTCCACGGCAACGACCTTTCCAGGATCTTCCAGCTCTTGAACGCCTTCGTGCCCGAGGAGACCACTGGGGAGAAATCTGGTGGATCTCTGAAGGACCATGCCACATCAGAGGATATCAGGCTCTCAAAGCCGCAGCAGTACATCATGCCATTGGTATGCCGCCCATCGACTCCAGTGTGCTCCAAAAGGTCCTGCGCAAATTGCCAAACAAGGCAGCTGGTCCTGATGGCATTTCCTACGACTTTCTTCGGCGTTTGCCCTATCCAGCAGTCAACAAATTGGCACAACTTCTCACTGAAATGGAATCCACGGCCACTCTGCCAACTCAGCTGACGCTCACCAACATTGTCATGATCCCGAAGAACAACAAGGTGGAACGGCCATCGTGTCTGTACCGGTTGTGGAACCGATACCGTAAGCAGGATCTTCACAAGTGGCAACTTACCTTGGATGAAGAACTTCCTTGGGACAAAGCACGGCCACAACAGGACTGCCTGTCCATCGCAATTGGTCGTATGCTCAAAGCTGAAATCTCCACATCAAGGCCTTCACACAGTCTCATGTTTGGCAGATCTCTTATGTTTCTACGACACGGTCAATCTCGACCACATCATTGAGCCAGCACGAGTCCTGCAATACCCGGTTCTGCATCCCAAATTTGCTCTTGACCTCTACACTGGTCCAGGGCCTGCAGCACTTCCGCTGCACACTCAAGGGCTTCTTGGTTCTCGCAGTCCAGGCCATTGTCCTGCATGGTGATGTAGGCCTCGAAGACCGGGTCCTCTTCGTCAAACTCGAAGGTCTCCTCCGGGTCATAGGCCTCTTCGCCATAGTACACCGGGTTGAGGTCTTCTTCAAATCCTCCAAGAGATTGGGAGGCGACGTCATAGCCAATCCAATCATCTGCAGAGCCTCCATCGACATGGTAGCCCTGCCAAGGCTTGTGCCGTTGAGGGAAGCGTCCACCTTTTCCTCGTGCTCGGTGATCTTGGAATCCATGGTGTCCTCGATGGAGTTCGTGCTCGTGGATGGATCCATGCTGGGCGATGAGCTCGTCCATCACTCTGGCGACCGTGACATCGCCTTGCAAAGCTGTCCTGATCATCAGCTGATGATCTTGGCTGATCCGGGCGCTAGCCAAGATCTGCTCCGCCAGGATGGGGTCAGGCAGCTGCAGCTTGTCATCGAGGTCGATGAGCATGGAGTACCAGGTCCTCCTGCGAAGGAGGAAGCTCGTCATCGTCTCGCCTGCTTGGCGAGCCAGCATCCCAGTGGTCTGGGCTCCTGCATTGTACAGCTCTCTTGCATCTTGTTGTCGTCGAGGTCGGAAGGCCTTGTAGAGGGTGTCCACCAGCAGCTTATGGCCATCTGGCTTGGCCAATTTGGAAGGATCAAGCTCCCTTGCCACCTGAAGAGCTTGACCACGTAGTCCATCAATCAGCAACAGGCCAAGAGGGCCTTTCTTCTTGGCTTCAGCCTCGTCGAGGTGCTGGAACCGGGTGTGAAGCAGCTTCACCCGGAAGCTGTACTCAGCCAATTTGGATGGCTCTCCATCGTAACGTCGTATCTAGGCACCATGCCTTTTCCTTCCGTGGACATGAGGTCTTGGTCATCTTGATCATGTCCAGGGCGCCAACGAAGGGCCTCCAGCGCAGCCATCACGCCGGAGCGAAGGGACGAGGGTGGTCACCGCGGAAAGGAGCGTCCCTCGGCTCCAGCGGCCCTATCGGAGAACAAAGCTCCGCTGCCAATGTGAAAGCAGCCGAAAGCGACGTGTCGAACGTCGCACAGTGCGAGTCGCGCCTTTTGCGAGCGCTTGAGCCAATGAGCAAAGTCGTTGCTCAGTTCATGAACCCTCATGGATCTGGACACCAACTGGTTGCGATCGTGATTCAACACTCAATTTCTCAATATATATAATAGTAGTAATACAGGCCTTTAGAAAATTGCTTGCCAGCTGAGAGGTGCACTGTCAGATCTTTGGCGTGTCTGTCTCGTATCGAAACAGCAACGCTTTGCTTTTCTGCCTGCACAGTTCACAGCGGATGGCTTATCAGTGTGTTTTGTTTGATTGTTTCTATTCAAGTCAAAACCCGACTGCCTGAGCCACATGGGCAAGGCCTCATTGTGCAATTGGCTGACCAATGCGTTTCACCGTGTTTCATTGAGCATTGACAGATCCGAGCTTTGCTTTGTAATACTTGGGGACAAACTGAGACAAGGGGCATCAGATTACCACCGTCACAGCTCCCTCCCAAGTTTGAAACTGGTTGGCATCGCGGCTCCGAATCACCGGCTGATCCTCAGACGAAAAAAGCAACTTGATTGCATGCAGGCGTCATGTGGCTGGCATGACTGGCTTCTGTGTGGCCTCAGCTAGTTCAGCACCAGGTAGGTCTATGAGGCCTGACAAGGCCGAGACAACAAATGACAACGAACTGCGTCATCAGTGTCAGGCTGTCCTCCATCTTGCTCGCGACCTGCATTCACGTTCAGTGATCCCACACTACCACTAGCAGCTAGCAAGGCTAAGGAGGGCAAATGCAAAGGCTGCACCTGCGAAGGCAGCCAAATGGTGGTCACCACCTCCGACCGCCATGGAAATCAGCGTTGCAAAGTTTGCTGCAGTTTTCAAGCTCCGAGTGCTGAGGTGTCTTCGCTGTTCTGCATCCAGCTGCTCTGCACGAAGGTCGCCCAGCAAATGCTTCTGCCTCGGACAGCGTAAAAAGTTGTAAGCGTAGCATGGAGCAGACTCGCGGGCTGGATAACTTGGACTGCTGCCCTTTGTTGAAAATTGAGTAGGCCTGAAAGTACTCAGCTCTAAATGCGCTCGATTCGACCATGAAAGTATGCTTGGCTTAGAAACTTGCCGAGTACTCGCCACGGCCTTCACCAAGACCAGGCCTTCAGAACGGAGAACTTTGAAGCGATTCCAATATGTTCTGCCTCTTCCACTGCAAGCAACTTGGGGAAGAGCCCAAAAATAAAGGCAATCATGGACAGAATAAGATAGACCTCAACAGTCGTTGAAATGACACAAGTCAGAGTTCTGGTGATTGGGCACCTTGTCAAAGCCTGTAAGGAAGAAAGTAAGAAGCCAAACCGCCTCAGCACAAAGGAAAAAGAATTGAACACACACACACACAAAAAGAATATACGAGACAACGGGCCATTCTTTTTGGTCTCCACTCACCTAGGAATTTGTGTTCGAGGTGAGCACAACGACGCTCCAAACCCAGCCAGGCTGCCCAGCCTCATACGTCAGCCAGAGTTGAGAACAAAACAGTTTTCAATTGCAAAGATATGCTTCCAAGCAGAGACAGTACATACACACACACACACTCACTGTGAACAAAATCAACATCTGCCAGTAAAGACCAGGCCAATGTCGCGGCAAGCGCCATCTTTCGAGGTCAAGACATTTTGATGTTTGAGGCTTGAAGCAAAGCTTGGATAAGCTTATCATGTGCTGCATACACAGTCTTAAGGTGACAGTGTGCTTCAAGCAAAGCTCAAGGTGACTTGTTCTCCTTTGCTGCCCCTGCGATTCTGCGATTACAAAAATGAAGCCCAGCAAAGTCTTTAGTTGCCCCGAATCCCAGTGATGACCATGCGAATGTTCAGTAATATGTAATAATTGTGCTGTTGATGTTGTCCAGTCGGGTAGAAAACTGCTTGTGCTTGAGAGTTGTCGGCAAACTGCAATCAAGTGAAGAGTAAAACCAGCAACCAATGAGTTGGACGGGCTTGGATTAGATATCTGATCTGCTAAACTGTAGTAAACTCTTTGTGCAAGACTGGTGCTCCACCACCAGCTCTCAATACAGGTACTCTTCTTTCTGCCGCTGCAGCTAATTAATCTATCCTGCTGTCCTCGCATCCACATTAGCCGTACAGCTGGCTCACACAGCCCGTTTTGGGTTGCAAGCAAATTGCGACACCTTAGGCATTGTTTGTATTTGTGACATTGTTTGGCATTGTTTTGTCGTGAGGATTGAGGCCTGAGATCTGCACCAGCACCGCTTAGGCAGGCGAGCCTAGCCCGAACATCCCTGGCCTCACAAAGCATTGATTTTTGTTGGTTCTGCCAAGCTACAAAGGCCATCTCAGGGCCAGAGCCATCAGGGCTCTCAGGACCCTCAGGACCCTCAGGACCCAGCACAATGTTTGGGCGGCCACCAGTCGGGATGGCTGGGCCTGTGAGTCGGTCAACCCCATCACTTCATCACCAGAACGTTTGAATCTCCTGAAGTAACCAACAAATATTGGCATGAGCTCCTTCAACTCTCATCATCTGGGCTCTTTCTTTTGAGCTGTGAACTTACTTAGCAAGTTCGAACACTGCTTCAAAACTATAGCTAAGCACCAAACCAGGGAGCAAAGACCCGAGGGTCGGCATTTGCAACTGGCACAAAGCAAAACTGCTCGAAGTCTCAAGCGGCATGCATCTTTGCTGGCCTGTGGCATTTGCAGCCCTTGGAAATTGAAGGGCATTGGATCCCGAGCCTGGAGTCTGCAAGGCTGCAAGGAACAATGATGTTTCACAAACGGTAGTCTGAGTGCCACACTGCAAAGTTTGGTCCGCCCGCATTGGATCCCAAGGGGCCCAAGGGGGATGGAGATCCCAGTTGCGGCCCCGGGCCCAGAGAGAAGCCCAAAGGACTGGGCGACCCAAGAGGTTGTGGCCCTGGAGGCCCAGGAGGCGCCTCAGTGAGGCATTGTACAAGCTTCTTGTTACTAGAGCGATGCCAGGAGCCCCTAGTAGCGAACATTGCTCCTAGTAGGGCCCCTGGTAGCATCCTTGCTCCTAGTAGCTATTCAAAAGCATGTTTAAAAGCATACTTTGTTTAAACCGCTCGAGAATGCAGCGCACCTTTTTAGCTGGGCGGACTGAGGCCTGGAAACAACGAAACCTCCACGTCTACGTGTCTCGGGCCTGCAAGCTTGAGCTTCTTGGGCGCACAGGTGGCCTCAGGCTAGTGACAAAAGAACTTCAATATGACAATTCGTGACACTTGTACAACATGGACTTCGTATTCTCTCGCTGACCTCGCAAGTTTAAGCCTTTCACATTGTAGTGCAGCCTCAGCTTTAGCGCGGATTGAATCTTGTGATCAACCCGGCCTTACCCAGTTCAGCAGAAGAACCGCATGGCCCCATCACGGATTGTGAGCAAAGACCTTGGAAGCTGCATGTAGAGAGTTAGACCAGACTGTGTGACAAATGCAATGCTCAGCCCCACTGTCAAGGGCAAGGCCAGGTTGTCCAAGCGGAGGGCCTATTGCTGGCATGCTAAGTGTCACAGGCCTCATTGGCAAAGTAGTAAGGCTGGCCAGGGAAATGGAGCTATGAGGTCCGGGCGGTTGCGTCATGGAAATGGAGGAAATAGGCGGTACGTACGACCCACTCCGTGGAGGCACATAAGACCCATTTGGGAAAGGTCCCGCTGGCCTGCCATTGAGCGGCGGACAAAACTGGCAAAAACCGGTCAAGTTGGATGATCAGTCTGAATGAAGGCCAGCAGTGCACCAACTGAACCGAACTCGATGTGGTCACAGGTGGTGCCTTCACAAGAATCCGACAACTACCCTCGAGGGCATCAAAAATCTATCCATCTCTGCATACAGTATGTTATATATTGTTACAGAAACAGGAATGCCTGCCTGTCTTCCAAAACATGCTGAATATGTGAACAATGACTCCCCTCAAAAGTGTTCAAGTTATATAAGCACTTCAGCAAGTTCAGGTTATGAGAACCTCACTGTTCTTATGGCAAGCTCAAGACCCTAGAGTCTAGGTTGAAAGCAGCTTAGCAAGGCGCTTCTGCAGGCTGGGCGGCAGCTGCCTTACAATGCACGAGGAGGCAGTTTCAATTTTAGGTGATTCCACACAGCAGGATTTCAGACATACACACCACAAAAACATCAAAACAGTGCCAATGTAAAATGTTTCACCAGCAGAAATGCCTCTGAGTTATATATGTAAATGTAAAGGGACCATGTAGTGTAGTGTCATTACAAGCAATGTGTCACACCTTGATTAATAGCTTGGGATCTCCGGGGGCTGCCCCCATCTCTTCCGTTATTTCTGTGTTCCTCCTGCTTGCTTTTAACAAGGATACACATGGTCCTTGCAATGTCTGCATGGAACGTTGCATGCAATTGTCATTGTTTGCATGCTTTCTTTAACAGGAAGTGTCAAAACATGCCACAAACTTTTTCAAGTGGGCGGCCCATAAAGCAGAAGGTCTTACACCTCACCTAACCCTGTGAAACTACAGAAAACACAACAAGCTTTAGAAATTCTGAGGCTTGCTAATTTCATTGACGCATTCGATCAAAATATATCAAACAACCTACGGATAAGGAAAAGGGATGTGAAAGGAAAAAGCACTGACACCCTGCTCCTGCGTATAAGTAAGGTGCGGCTTGAAAGCAGATCCTCCATGCAAGTGTTTGCCTCGGCTGACCTTCCCTCATTATCCCAACACCTCACTCTGGTAGATCTATTTAAAAACGCGCCATGGCGCTCAGTGGTCAGGAATGAAAGTACCACCGCACCAGTTTTACTTTACAAAGCAATGCAACAAAATGCATAAATGCACCAGGTCACCGGCGTCAAATACGTAAAGCTTATGTAATTAATTTCAAGAACCTATATATACTGATATATACTGTATGTATACGGCTGTGGTTCAAAACTGGAAACCCGTTTCACGGTAGGTTGACCTCCTTGATAGTCCTTTGCCTTTGTGCTCTTTTTCTGCGGTGACGGCTACGGCCAATAGTGCATCATTAGCATCATGAGGAGCTCAGGAGGCAATCTAAAGCATCTTCTACCAGGGCTGGGAGTTCATGTCGAAAGAGCGCGAAAAGTGGTTGGAACTCCTCCAGGAAAGGGAGATGTGCGAAAGGGAGGTGTGTGTCTCTTAAGACACTGTGTGATCTGTGAAGGCAGGAGAGGGAACAGAATGCTGTGGGGAAGGTGGAACACAGACATAGCGGAGGAGGACGTGGTAGGAAACTTGAGGCCGAGGGTAGGTGACGAAAGCTAGCAGGGATGCATCCGTGTCAGTGGAGGCGAAGCATACAGCGCCGTCCAGTGACAAAGGACTGGTGGGACATCAAGCGGAGTGAGGCAAATCTTTTTTCATAGGCATGGGGCTGTTGGAGGGATGGTTCACAAGGTCTCGCTCATGAGGTAAAACGTTGTGAACATGTAAGACACACGAACAGCAATGACACAGCCAACCTTAGCTTGTGAATCTGTTGAATCTGTTGCATCGTTTCCCAAACCTCCACGGAGGAGTTGAACCGAAGTGGATGCCATAAGAGGTGTCCAAGAGGTGTCCCAGAGGCGTCCCAGGGGGGAGTTGAACCCGCCGCGGGGGGGGGCCCTCTACATATGAAGTTTTCACGTGATGCGGCGATTCCAGCCCCTCACTTGCTAAAGCAAGGACAACTCCAGCTAGCTGGTGCTAGCTTTCGTGAAGAGGGTTTGTAAGAAATCTTGGAGTTGCTTGGGGTGCCGATTTTTAATGCTAAAGACGCCTGTCAACCATACGCAAAAGGGCACCCCATACAGGAGAGAGAACAGAATGCAGCGGGCAAGCTTTGAATTGCTTGGGGGTGCCCTTTTTGAACGGCCTAGTAGCCAGACTCAAAAGGGAACCCCATATTGAGTGGGAGTTCATGTGCAGGATAGGCATAGCGGGGGGATGTGATAGGAAAAGAGGTGGGGAGCTCCCCAGGAATCTCGCGCTCAACCCCCATGACCATATTGATATCTTTTACGGTGGCTGGCTTTCGTCCCCTCCCTTCTCAGGTATGTATATCATATAAATGCCCCTCATCTCACGCAATCGCTATAAGCTTCGGGCGGCCATCAGCATTTGTGCTTGTTGTTGGGCCTGGAGCTCAAAGGACCTTGGTCAAGGAAATTTGCTGAAGAGTGCAATTGTCAAATCATCAGTTTCCGCAGGCCTGTCAGCAGGAAGCTTATATGACATCCCAGGAACCATTGGGGAAGGCATAATGTGTGCCTGTCAAGTGATCCAAGGCCAAAGGGAAACGCCAGTCCTTGCTTCTGCGAGCCTGCTGTGATTGTGCCATCTGAGCAGCACACGGAGTCGTATTTATTGTAACACCTGCAGGGCTCTGCAGCTGAAAGGTGACTGCGCTAAGGGTACATCACAGTATCTCATAGATGTTGTCAATGCCCGTCGAATGCCAGCCTGAACTTACAGCCTCAGGTGGTGTAATTTGAGAACTGGACGAACGGTCACGTCAGACCAAAGACTCCGCGATGGAGGGAGGGCTGAGTAACACAGAGAGAGAGAGAGAGAGACAAGAAAAAGAAACACTAGAAGCCAAATGGATAGTGCGACGGCTTTTTCAAGGAAGCTCCTTCCCGCCCTCAGGCAGGAGGAGCTTCCTTGAAGAAGCCTGAAAAAGGGTCTCTCTTTGCCAATATTTTGACATCCCAATCCGAGGATTGAGCTCTTGGGGCACCTCTCACCTCCATACAGCAAATGCAGTTGCAACATGTTGGGTAAACGGGGGGGGTTAGCCCCGAACGCAACACACCGAGAATGAAAAAACCATGTGCTTTACAGGGCTTCGTGGCTTTGCGGACACTCAACTGATCGTCTTGCAACTCATGAGTTGCAAGACGATAAGTTGAATGCGCCTTGACGGACCCAACCCACCCGCCTGCTCCATGTACAGCTTGCCAAGGCTCATTTTCCAGCCGCCAGACATCAGTCTTGTTCCCAATTGAGCCATTTGAGCGGGCTTCTCAGCTTCTCTATGTATTCTGACAGCCTCGAGCATTGAGTCCAACTCTGGATGTTGGCGGAACCACAACGCTGCGAGGCCTTCAACGTGCTGTCGTTGCAGCTTTGCATCGCAACGGCCAAGAAGACCCATTCTACGCAGTGTTAAAGCAATCCTCGAACGTCGAGCCCGTCATGTCCTCTAAGCCAAGAAAAGCGGTCACCGAGCGAACGAAAGGTCACCGAGTCCACAAATCAACGTCAAAGTCGATGTACGCGAGTAGTAACACGGACGAAACTGACCCCACCCCCCCCACTCCCCCCACCCTGAAAGACCAATCAACGGATTGGATATATGTTGCCGGCGGGGCTAACCCCCCCCGTTGGCCCAACATGTTGTTCAGTCTATTTTTGTTAGGTAAAGAAGAAAGAACAAAACTGTCACAGTTTTGCGAAAGATTCCGGAAGCTACTACCTTGGACACAGAAGGGTTTGGGCTCTTCAAGGAAACTTCTCCCGCCTGAAGGTGGGAGAAGTTTCATTGAAGAGCCTTTCGCATGGCCAAGGCGGTTCCTAGATGTTTAGGAAATGTCCAATGTCAAAAGTTCAAAAAGAAAATAGATGTCAAGCCTCAGCAGTCTGGTCAGAGCCCCACACGGGCCCAGATTGCATTTGCTCCATTTGTCCGGGAGGCCTCACTCAATGCTGCTGGTCAATGTCGCGATTTGAAGCGTCGGAGAAGTTCACATCTTTGAGTTTCTACTTTCCACTAAGTACGCAGTGAAGAAAGGAACGATGGATTTGCTTTGACAGCATCCCAGGCAAAACCCTTGGAGCAAGCCAAGCTGTTTCTTCGCACAAGGTTGTATTGAGGGAGCTACCAATTCAGCATAATTCAGCTACTTACGTTTGGGTAGAGCTGATGTGAGAGTGCGATAGCTTGAATTGGATTCTTTCGGCTCAAATCACCACAATTGTACGTACCCTCTTCAGTGGGTCACAATGGTGTAGCTGTGCCCTTGTGTTGTTGGTGCAAAGCACAGGTCCTGGAAAAGGTGGCTGATGGATCTTACCAATTTGTAAATGGAATGTACTTTCCGGCAGCAACATCCATTTGCAGTTTCAACGGTGATTTCTTTCGCTTAGATTGTGGTCTTGCTGAAAGAATGTCTGTATAGCTAGTTTTTGAGCCAAGCTCAAGAGAACAATCTATATAAATTAGCCCAGCTGGAGACCCCAATAGCAAGATACAAACCGGGACAAAAAGAAAAATCTGGAAACAGCTGCTGTTTTCAACACATCGACCTTCTCTTCCTTGGACACCATCATCACATAACCGGGACACCATCACAAAATGACCAGGGCACCATCAAAACATGACCGAGACACCGTCACAACATG